TAAGCATTTGTAGCTCCTCCAGCACAATTCTATGGTCAATGTCCAGCAGATGTTGACCACAGAGTTGCACTGGAGGACCTAGAGACCTCTAGAGAGGTGTTCTTACAGTGTTTTTTTTATTTGCAGTTTTTTCACTTTCAGGGGGGTCCTGGTCCCCTAACCCCAGTGAATGTGGAGGGCCCACTGTATAGTGCCATCAGTGTATGTGGGGCTTTACAAACAGTTGCCGAATAAAACATTTATATACTATTCAATAATGTAAAATACTAAAATGCAATATTAAAATACAATGGGGGGGAACACACAGAGACATGATGCAAAATAAAACAAAACTGGCAGTACAGATAACTGCAAATAAGATAAGGACAGATAAGATGCTTCTTAATCGCAGTATGTCTGAAGGCGTAGAAATAAAATTTTATTATTATTATTATTATGGGGCTTGGTGTCTCATAAGGCACTCTGCATATGCTCAGAGGTTCTCTAGTTTCCTAGGTTAAGCACTGGGCTTGGGTTTTGACAAACTGTCACCCAGTGCCACCCTCCTCCTATGCCCAAATTCTTACATAGGAGTGGGCAAAGCAAGACCCTCCATATGTTGGTGTACTACAACTCCCATCAAATCTACCTGCCCTAGCCAGTGGTGGGAAAGTTGAGAGGTGTAGTCCTTCAACATTTGGAGGGTTACACTTTGCTAGAGCCTCTGTTCTAAACTCATCATGGATCAAGTTGACCAAACGTCCTCCTTTTCCAGGACATGCCCTTCATTTCAACCTTCTGTCCAGGAGGAATTCCATAACGTCCTCCATTTTGAGCATGACTAAGAAGCATGAATTTACATGTGTATAAGTGTTTTTAGTTTTTATTTTGCAATGCCCCACACGTTTCTTGAATGTCCTGCACTTTGCAGTGCCAGGTCCTCCTTTGCGGTGAGGACATCTGTTCACCCTTCATGGGATCTCTTGCTAATTTTCTCTTGTTGTTGCTCAGTCTCATCCTTGCCTGGTCTGTTGTCTTGCCCTTCTGCACATACACTTCTCTTTCCATGACTCTCTTCTTTTGCAAAGTGCTGTCCCTTTGAAATAAAGTTGGCGGCAGATGGTTATAAAACAAATGCATTATAAAAATGCAGCCAGGTCTTTCAACAGTGGCTTGATCTGGTAGAAATGGACTGATTTCTTGCTTCATTGTATGGAGGTCATGGTGTGTGAGGGTTCCCTGGGTTCCTTTCTGCTGTCTGAGCTGGATTGGCCCCTTGAGACCATCTTTTATCTAAACAACACCCTGCCACCACCTTATAATTTGCATTTCCCCTCTTTGACAATGTGCTGGGACATTATTGGGGATTCCCTGGCCCTTCCTTGCAAAGACATTTCCCTCTATCACTTCCCATTTTGGGGAAAGAGCTAGATCTTGCTGAACTAAAATATGCAGCCAGGCTTTTCAATTGTGATTTGATCTGGTAGAAATGGATAGATCTCTTGCTTCATTGCATGGGTGGTAAAACCAGGTGAACCTACAGTTAAAGCTATGGTCTGGCATGTGGACAGATTGGCACTCCTGTGAAGATGAAATTTCTGACTTTTTCCTCTTTATCTGCTTCCAAAGTGCTGCCCTAGATGGCCATCTAGGGTTGAGAGTTTGTTAAGATTAAACTTGGCTGGGAGATGGTGCAACAGACCAATATAGAACAGAAGACACAAGTGTACACTTATTGCTAATGTTGCTGTGTTCCTTCATATTGTTTCCAACGTATGGAGACCCTATTGCAACACTATCATGGGGTTTTCTTGGCAAGATTTGTTCAGAGATGGTTTGCCATTGCCATCCTCTGAGGCTGAGAGAATGTGACTCACCCAAGGTCACCACTGGGTTTCCATGGCTGAGCTGTAGAGTTGTTCAATGCTGAAACTACTACACCACTCTGACTCTCTCTCATTCAATAAGTATTAAGAAGTAATCCTGAAGTACTCAAAGCTAGTTCTGTTTCCTTAAAAATTGTATATTCATGCTCCACTCCTGTTCTGTGCACAAATCAAATCCCTCCCAGAAATTTCATTCTGAAAAATGACTGATTTACCAATAAATCAATCAATATATAAATGACAGAGTGGACTGACTCTGGCTTGCTAGAACTATTTTGCTTTACTAAAAGCATGTATCCAAAAGAAATGTGTACTCTTCCCTGTTTACTCCTGTCTCCATTTTCAACTCCTTCCTTTATTTTCCCTGCTAAGATTCATTCTTATATTTTCACTTTTTCAGGAAAAGAACACATCCTCTGAATCTTTGTAACATTCTGAGCATATTGGCGGGACAAAAGGAATAATGAGATGTCAGCTCTGTACAAAAGCATTGTAGCATATAGCATGTATAACAGTGCCTTCTTTCACTGTGGCTATATAAAGAGACACAACTTGGAGCACTATTGTGTCTTTGTTTGCAAATGCACCCTTAATTTTTCCTTTGGGTTTCTATTTTTCAGATTATGTCTATCCACACATGTCTACATGCCTGTTTCTTTTTAAAAAAAAAAAATCTCTGAAGACATAGAAGGGATCCATTCGGAGAAATCCAGTCAGAGCGACTCAGAGTGATTGGGAACTGTCGTGTTTGCTTGTTTGAGCAAAAATCAAGTCATTCCATTCCCAGCTGGACCAACCTGTCCATAGGAGAAGGTGCTAAAGACATCAGGAAAGTCAACATGTCATTTGCAACCTATTAGGGAAGGTGCTAAAACCATCACTGGGAGGAGATGAGCCAAGGGATGATGAAGTGCGAGGGGGAAATCCATTTAGATAAATATTTGCATGCAAACACACATACACTTTGTGTATCTGATAAAGAAATCTCCATCTGCTTAAGCCTATGTCATAATAAACCTGTTAGCCTTTAAGGTGCCACAAGAATCCTTCTTACTTTTCGTATCTTTTTCCCCATACGTTATGCTTTTCCTATAAACGCAGCTATAAATATATGAATTAAAAATTATCCATAGGGATCAGAAGAGGGGAAGATATGGCCGTCCCGATGTTGTTGGATTGCAATTCTCATCAGCCCTACCAGTCAGTGGTGAGGGATTATGGGAGTTGCAGTCTAACAATATCTGAAGGAATGCATGTGCCCCACTCTGACATAGATGAATGGATCATATGGCATTAGAAAGGATAAAATGTCAACAATAACAATATCTTTGCTGTGATGTTATGCCTTAAGGCCTAAATCAGGGTGGGAATTATGTCGCTCTCCAGATGTTACTGAACTGCATTTCCCAGCATTCCCAGCTATAAATAAAAATTTATTATGATTATTATTATTTGCTATGCTGACTAGGAATGCTGGCTAGTTGCTGTTCATCAACATCTGGAGTGCCACACTATTCCACTATATACAGTCGGCCCTCTGTTTTCACAGGGGATCCATTCTGGACCACCACCCCTACAAGAATGGAGATTTGCAAATATTCAAGCCCCATAGACTTGAATGGGGCGTGCCCGCGAGGGGGGCTCCCCATTGATTTTAACTGAGGTCACCCCTCCGTGAATATGCAAAACCACGGACTTGAAGTCCGCGAGAACGGAGGGGCGGCTGTATATGTAATGCATCCTGTTGCCCTCATTTGCAGTGAAGGACCCTGAGCAGAACAAAACATTGGAAAGCACCTTATCACTGTAGACGAATAAAAGGAAACAAAGACCCATGTGCTATGTGATGGTCCAAAAACTTTAATATCTTAAAAAGCCAGCACTGAAGTAAAATTCAAATGCCACTCCAGTTGGCTTGTCTATACGGAATGGAGCTAAGAGGCCCATCTTGTCCTTTCTTCAGGCAACAAAATCTCTTAGGACTGGGGTAGGTAACCTAAGCCCGGGGGCCAGATGCGGTCCCCTGAGGCCTTTGGACCAGCCTCAGGCCGGTCCTGCTACCACCACCGCCGCCCACCATGATGATATTGATTATTGTTGTTATTACTTGTTCTTGGGGTTTTCTTGGCAAAATCTCCACAGGGGTTTTGCCATGGCTTTTCTGGGGCTGAGAGAGTGTGCATGCATATTTTTAAAAATATTTTTTAAAATCTTTTAATTTTAATTTTTATTTATTCATTTATTTATTTGTTTTTGGTGCTTCGGCCCCCCAATTGTCTGAGGGACAGCAACCCGGCCCTCGGCTCAAAAAGGTTGCCTAACCTCGCCCAGATCATGAAACAAACATGGTTTCAGTTGGAACCCCATCTAACAAGCTTGGAAATGGCCATGGGACTCACAAGGGGAGGACACTGGGTATCATACTTCTGACTTCCCCCCAATATCTGCCACCTGAAGCAGTTGCTTCAGTCTCCCTCATTGTAGAGCCAGTCTAGAATTGGTGTTGACTCAGCTTAGCTGACACTGTTAATGTAGCAAAGATTGGGAACTTTACTCCCCCACACCTCTAAAAATCCTATTAATTAATGTATTTATTTTTGATACTACAACAACTACAACTTGTTTTTCTAAAAATATTGTAACACAAATATTTTATATTAAATCCTGCTTTTAACTCTGTATTTAATATTGTATTTTAATGTATTGCATTGCATTTTATCTATCCTATTTTGCTTCGTTTTTACTGGTCATTGACCAAAGTAAATATATGTATGTAACTTACATAGCTATAGGCTACACTCACTGAAAGATTCTGACCAAAAAGAGACTCTTCCAAGCTCTCTAGTTTAATAAGATATATCCCACTTTCCTATATAAAAGAGATATAAGAATATGTGCAAGGCAACATCTACCTGAATTAAATGTCCTATATAGGAATTCCCTTATCTGGAATTCCAAAATGCTTAATACTGCAAAATACAAAATTGTCCACATGGGTAGCTGAGACCTTTGCTATTATGGGAGCACCAGAACCTAATGCCTTAATGACAACTTTGTTTTCTGATGATTCAGTGTACATAAACTTTGTTTCATGCACAAAATTATTAAAAAATATTGTGCATAAAATTATAAGGAGAATTGGTGTGGTGCAGTGGTTTGAGCATTGGACTGCAACTCTGGAGACCAGGGTTCGATTCCCTGTTGGAGCATAAAAACCCACTGGGTGACCTTTGACAAGTCACACTCTCTCAGCCTCAAAGGATGGCAATAGCAAACCCTCTCTGAAGGAACTTGACAATAAATTCCCATGATAGGTTCACCTTAGGTTTTCCATAAGTAAGAAATACTTGGAGGCACACAACAACAACAACAACATGTTTATAAGGTGAATCTCATGTTTAGACATGGGCCCCATTTCCAAGATATCTTACTATGTATATGCAAATATTCCAAAATCTGAAAAAAAATCCAAAATCCAAAACTCTTCTAGTCCCAAGCATTTCAGACAGGGGAGACTCAGCCTGTATATACATTCCTTTCTCATTCTCTCAGGAGTGAATTGGGCCAAATCTGGCACATACAGTTCTGTGTTAGTCCCTCCACTCCCAAATCTCTGTGTTTTGCTAAGAAAGGACACAGATCCATATCTGTTTATTCAAAATTACTTACTGGCTGCCATCAGATTTACACTCAGGTAAGCGTGTATGGGTTTGGAGCCGAAGATCTCTCTTGGCCAACAGCCATTGTCACCCCATTACATTTGCAGACTTGTCAAGACACAGCAGTTAATGGGGTTGGAGGGAAATGTGGCAGGGAATTAATCCTGTTACTCTGTATAATTGACTGTAGGCAGCTCACAAGTAAAAGACAAATATCCTTCCTATCTCCTAGGCTAAGACCCTGGCAAGGGCTGACCCATGACATTTTGCTGCCTGGGGCAAATGGTAAAATGGCAACATCTCCCATTTCATGTACCAATGCCAACCAGGCTGACAGTTCTTACTTTAACATTGGTGGTGATGGTTCGCCCAGGGTGACCAGATGTCATAATTGCAAAGGAAGACAAGACACCGCAAAATGTAGGCCATTAAAGAAAAATGTATGACATTAAAAAATAACATCTAAAAACACTCATATAAATATACATTCATTTCATATGGTTTATTTACAGCTATATGATATATACGGTGTTTTTCTGATGAACGTAGCTTCATCGAAGTGCTTTGTTGGCTTGCAATATGCTTATAGAATTCTGAGCGAGACTAATGCTTAAAATTGTACTTTACTAGCAACAAACCCTTGATTGAATCTACACTTAAATTATTTCTTTCATTTGTCCACTGTGCTGAAATTAAGGGAAAAAAACCCTTTCAATATTTGCATTGTGTCCTCAAGCAGCCCATTGCCTAAATAATTTGCTTTTCCCTTCTCAGAAACAAAGGTGACCCAAGCTCTGGGCCAAGTCTTGTCTGCTGTTGCTCCTACGAAAAAATAACTTTAGATGGATCCCTCCTATCACCCTATTTGCAACAAAGACAGGCTGCCAAGTAAATTAAGTTCTCCAAGGAGAACAGCAAACGGTGATGCTACTCAATGGGCTTCCTGGTCATGCTAAAAGTGGAGGAAATCATGAGTTAAAACAAAGATATTTATTGTCAAAAGAACTTTGGAAGTATTGTATTGTAATGTAAGATGATGAAATGACTATATGTGATATTTCGATTGTATAAAAGTATTTTAGATGTTTATATATTATACATAAAATGATTAAAAATAAAAATAAAAATGGAGGACACTTTGGAATTCTTCCTGGACAGAAGCTTGAAATGTAGGATGTGTCCTGGAAAAGGAGGATGCTAGCTTGGCAGGGGGGCAAAGAGCCCTGGTAAGGCTGGACTGAAATATATAGCACTGACCTCAGAAGAAAACAGCCAGAAGGGCGGAAACTGCTGTCTCTACTCACACCACTAGCCCTCACTGCTTGAGGTGACTGCCTCTCTCTGTCTAACCATTGGGTCTGCCTGAGGCACTGAAACTTTCTAGCTCAGAATTCTAAATATCTCTCCCTAAACTGGAAATCCCAGGATTCCATAGGACGGCAGTTAAAGGGTGCATCTACACTGCCGAATTAATGCATTTTGACACCACTTTAACTACCATTTCAGTTGCCATGGCTACATCCCACAGAATCCTGGTTTTTTTTTTTATTGGTGGGGCACTAGAACTCATTGACCAAGAATTCCAAATACCTTGTGAAATTACAAAGGATTCTATAGGATGGAGCCATGACAATTAAATGGGAATCAAAATATTGGAATAGTACAGTATTAACTCTGGTTGCATCTGCACTGCAGTTTGCCATCACTTTAACTGCCATAGCTCAATGCTATAGAATCCTGGGATTTGTAGTTTGGCGAGCTAATTAGGTTTCTCTGTCGGAGAGCTCTGGTGCCACAATGAACTACAGATCCCAGGATTCCAAATGATGGGGCCATGACAGTTAAAGCAGTGTGGCAGCAGGCAAAATGGAATCATATTGCTATAACTATGTAGTGTGATAGAACCCTCAGAAAGAATTTTTCATGACTATATATTGAGAAAAGCTAACCCTCTATTGCTCCCTTTGATTACCATTGACTCTCCGGTATCTGAAGAATAGGGTCTTCCCAGCCTTGGGAAGCATTTAATGGACAATGATAGGGTTGAGCATTAGGATATGGTACAGTGAGGCATGCGTTACCACCACTGTGTATGGGTCTCTCTCCAGAAGTCCAATTGCATTGTCTAGGTATTTTAACTGAAAAATGACTTGAAGGCACACAACAACAACAACAACAACAACAACAACAAAGGCAAGGTTTTGCCATTCTTGAACCAATGGTCACATACATTCCTGACCCATGTGTTCTGTGCTGCCTACAAGTCTACAAGGTCAGAATCTTGCATGGATTTTTCTTCTTCTTTAATTAGTATATTACAGCAACAAACAATCAATGCAGTTGAGACCCATTACAATGAGATGTAGCAAGTACATGTTTCCTGACTATCCAGCTAAAATTTTGGGCAGCTGACACAACGACAATGTGTAATAGAGTATCTTTCCAAAAATCAACATGTGAGGATTTACGTAACTAATAGCTGCTTTGGGAGTCACTTGTCGGTCCTACAATCTTTGTTTATGTCATTGAATACAAACATACAGGATGTTATCTGCAGTACATGGACAAAACAAGCACAGTCTTGTGTATATGCTTCAGGAATCATAAGTCTGCAGTCTTGACCAGAAAGCTTGAGCAGGAAGCTGGATGTCCATTCTTAAGATCCTAACATCACATGGACTAATCTTAGAGGATAATACCATCATCCACTGAAGAATACTGGAAAAAAATAGTGTTTTAAACTGCCACCTTGTATGCAGCTCAGTTTCATCTTTAGCAACTGAAGAAAGCAGAAGATGAAACATTTTGCTCATGTTGTATTTTTCAGTTTTGTTTTTAATTGCCCCCTATATTCTGCCTTTTTCCCTTTCACAGGATCCACGTCTGCTCACAGCTAATACTCTAAAAGGCACCAGAACCCCCCTAGAAACTAAGCAGGGTCAGGCTAGAATTTTAAGGAGGGATGCTTGGAAATCTTAGCTAGAGAGCTCTAGTGCCGCACCAGACTACTAGTCCTAGGATTCCATAAGGCTGAATAACAGTTAAAGTGCAATAATAACACTAACATTATGTAATATGAAGGGGATCCAAGGGGATCAACCCCTACTCCCCTCTCAGTCATCGTCCCTTCCATGACAAGGTCACATTCTCCTCTCTCTCTCTCTCTCTGTCTTTCCTTTTTGACCCATAGACCTAGGCACCAGAGTCCACCTGAACTTGGAAACTAAGCAGGATCAGCCCTAGTTAATATCTGAATGGAAGACTGCCAATTAATAAGAGATGCTGTAGGGTATATTTCATAGGAAGGAATGGGCAAACCACCTCTGTGTATTTCTTGCCTGAGAAAACCCTATTAACTTAATGGGGTTGCCATAAATTGACAGGTGACTAGAAGGTACAGAGAGAGAGAGAGAGAGAGAGCTTTTGTACTGTTAGTACAAAAGGTTTTTGTTTTTGTTTTTTGGTAACCAAACAATGTTATTAATAAGTCACAAAAGTAAAGACATTTTAAATATAACAGAAAATATGAAAGCACAGCCCTATTGAAAGCCCCTTCTGCCATGCAACGTTGTAATCAGGTATTTCCAAAAAGGCTTGGACAATTTGCTTTTTTGACCTACACCTCCCCTACCCAACAGTAGCCATGACATCTGGGGGATTCTGGGGTGGTAGACTGAAGAAGCAATGGTGTCAAGGTCTAGCTATAAAAGAAAGAAAGAAAAGAAAGATAAAGAAGAAGAAAAAGAAAAAAGAAGGAGAGAGAAGCAGCACTAACAAGCAAAATTTCATCATAAAATGGCACTGATGTCTATTTTACGCAAGAGCACATGATTTGTACACTTGCCACACATTGTCTATAGTTTTATAATACTGGGCCTCTTGTCCTTTATTTTAATGCTGACACCACAGACAGTGAAATGGAGACAGAGCGTATTGGTATCCCACTATGAAGGCAGATTTCAGGGAGTCTGCTCTCCGGGGGGTGAGGATGGGTGGATGCTGGAGTTCCTAGTCATTATGCTAAGCCTCTAAGCCTTGATTGCCTCCTCCTCCCAATTAGGTTGGCAAACAGTTTTACCGGGAGGTGTCAAGATAGGCCTGCCTATATAAACTTTGCCAACTTTGCTTGCTCTAAAGGTTTCTCTCTTGCTTGCTAACTCTCTTGCCTGCTAACAACAGTTGCTTGCTGCTTGCTCACTGCTAACAACAGTTGAAGAACCAGGAAAGATCATGGTGATGATGGGGAACCAGCTTTGCCTCCTTCTCGCCATCCTTTTCTGCTCCATGCCCTCAGCGCAGGGCCATCTCTGGGCATGGTTGTACTCATTGCCTGAGTACAATGCGGTGGCATCTTCCAAAAGTGCTGAACTGCTGTCTAATCTGGAGCTGAAGGTAAGAAAGACCCCAGCATTGCATAGACCAGGGGTTGAGATTTCAGTCTTCTACTTTTGGGTCATTTTCCTTTACTATAACACCAAGATCCTTGGACTAGAACCTGGGGCAAAAGACATAATAATTAACTTGTTCGGAGTGTAGGTGTTTATTCTGAA